CTCCTTTGATGTTGATGCAACACATGCACCAACCTTGATCAACAAATGATATGATCCACTTCATATCATAACATTACCATATTGGTTCATCGATCTTGACCTCACTTGCTCTTCACCGTTGCCTCAGTCCGTCGACGCCAAGTCCTCGACTTGCCCTTCACTCTTGCAACCGGTCCATCAAGCCAAGCCTCATCTTGCTCTTCTCCACCTTAGTCACATGACTGAGCTCCTTCATCACACGTGTGAGCCAAGCCATCTTCACTGTCATGCATGAGTTGCTCACACAAGTGTTCCTATGGACTAATCACCTGTGTATTTCACTTAAACAACATATTAGTCCACCTAGGTTGTCACTCAATTACCAAAGCTAGACAAGGACCTTTCACACGGCCGGCATAGTAGCACCACGTCACACCATGCAACCTCATTTTGATCTTCTCCACCTTAGTCACATGACTGAGCTCCTTCATCACACGTGTGAGCCAAGCCATCTTCACTGTCATGCATGAGTTGCTCACACAAGTGTTCCTGTGGACTAATCACATGTGTATTTTACTTAAACAACATATTAGTCCACCTAGGTTGTCACTCAATTACCAAAGCCAAACAAGGACCTTTCACACAGCCGGCATAGTAGCACCACGTCACACCATGCCATGACATGGCCACAAGACCATGACGACAACCACGTCCAGACGTGCTCCACAAGATAGCATAGCTTGCAAGCCAAGTTAGTTAGGAACTCCCTCGGGCTCACAACCCTTGGGTCGGAGAACCTCCTTCTTTGTATATGCCTGGCCTTTGAAATTTATATAAGGCGGTCAAGGCACCCATCCTGGGGATCTAAAACCATTCGATCCTCTACCATTTTACTCATTCTCCATCGTAGTAGGGCTCCTGGAGCTTTCCTTGAGTACCATCCATCTCCTAGCTCTAGCTCTCCAACCTCTTCCACCATTCTTGCACCCCCATTGTAAGAACTTGAGCATTCAAGCGAAGAACACGCACTCGATCATCTCTCGAGATCGGACATAGGGCTCGGCTACCAACCAATATAAATCCTCGTGTCTTTTGGATGTTATCATCGTCTTTCTAGAGCAAATAGCAGAATCGTATAAATTTACTAGTCCGGTTTACAAAACATCAACAATCCAAGACAACCATTTTTTCCACCGCACCGGCCTACACGGGCGGAAATGGACCTTCCTAAAACCTCCGGCGCCTAAGCTCAGTTATGTGAATAGTCACGTGGGGGACGAGCCGCCAGGGACGTCTCCTCTTATTTATAACCGCGTTGTGAGCCAGGGTGTCGAACCCTAGAAGTCTAAGGATTGCCGCCGATCACGGCAGATCTTATTTAGTTGGAAATAAATGACAGGTGGGTAGACCAAAAACCTAACGCTTAATTAACCTCGTAATTAAGTTCGGGCCGGGTTAGCCGAAACGATCACATTCCAACAGAACCTACCTCATCTCTCTCTCTTTCTCTCACACACGTCAGGAGCGAAGCTATGTATAGTGCTTAGGGGTACAAATACACCGCCTCAAAAATATAAAAACAATCATTATGACTAAACTTTCACCTTATGTATGTATCTCTTATAGCACAAGCCTATGCACCACAAAGCAGGTGCACCCCTTTTCAATTTGCTCTAGTTTCACCACGCACTTTTCTACCAACGTAACCCACCACTAACTGATCCAAGCACGCCTTCTCCCTTTTGGATGTTTTCCGCCACAGTGACCGTGGTTGTCGTCCCACCCCCCAACCACCGTCATTGTTGACTGCCTTTCGCACATACCGTTGCTCTGTGGCTCTCATTCACACACAGATCGAGCTTGAAGCAACCTCATCATTCATCAACAACTGAAATTTGGGCGAGCTGTGTGATTAAGAAACGGACGAGGACAACTTGATATTGGTGAGCTCAAGACATTCAATAACCAGTCTTGCTTATGCATGAACCAAAAAAAATAGCATGCAAAACAAGATTATTGGACAATTAGGCCATATATTAATTAACAACTCAACATTGAAAATATAAGCACACACGCACAATGGTAGGGCGTCTCTCCACGGATCAGATGAAAACTCAACGCTTACATGAGTTGCAAAACCAACAAACAACAGCAGTGTACGCGCGTAATCAATCATAACACATGATTAGCCGGTGAGCTCGTCCTCCAAGTGCGTCGCGATGACGACGTCGGAGGTGGGGTAGGCGTGGCAGGTGAGCACCCAGCCGGCGGCGATCTGGTCGTCGTCGAGGAAGCTCTGGTCTGACTGGTCGACGCTGCCGGCGATGACCTTGCCGGCGCAGGAGGAGCAGGACCCCGCGCGGCAGGAGTAGGGCAGCTCGATGCCTTCTTCATCGGCCTGGTCCAGGATGTACACGTCGTCGGGCACCTGCAGCTCCACCTCCCCCTCCGGCGTGACGAGCTTCACGTTGTAGGTGGCCTGCGCGCGCAGCCTGGCGCCACGGGCCATGGGCACCTTGGCCGCAGGCAGCGCGACGGTGGCCGGAGCCGGTGCTGGCGCGACGCGGAGAGAGGAGGGGAAGGCCGGCGCGCGGAGGCTGCTCAGGACGGTGGCCATTGTTGTGGTGCCGGCCGATGCGGGAGCTGCTAAGAGAGGCTGTGTGCGCTAGGGGAGAGCGGCTGCTGGAGTTGGGTCGGAGGAGGAGGCGGCAAATACATAGATAAACGAAGGGATGGCGCGAGTGCAGCGTGTAGGCTTATCTTTTTGGTGGGGCCTCCAGCAGAACGGACGTACTCTAACCTTTCATGTGATAACGTCCCCAACAATTTTGGCCACGAATTTTACCGGCCCTCAACATCACCGGAAATTCACATTGTTGTGTAATGTGAATAACGAACAACGTATATACTCCCTCAATCCCAAAATACTAAATTTGACCAAATACATACAGAAAAGTACTAATGTTTATTATCTCAAACAAACATCCGGTCTTGTTCGGGAGGCCGTATCGTATCGTGGATTATTTACTGCTGGCTGGTTTGGTGTGAGAGAAAAACATTGTTCCTCGGCTGGAAATTTACGATCGTTTACGAGCAAGCGAACAGGCTGATCATTAGATACATCACATCATATATTTTCATAGTAAACTTATTAAGAGATACAAATGTTAACATTGTTTTCTAAAAATCTAGTTACATTTGATAATATTTGACTCCTCAAAGTACGAAATGTGTACTTATTTTAGGACAAAGAAAGTATATTTATTAGACAGAGCAAATAAAGTAGTGACTCTCAATACATGGAAAATAATATGCGGAAACCAATTGATGGCCACTGATTGGTTATTGTGCGGGTGGAGGCCGCAAGTCATGACTGGGTGTACTATGGCCATGTATATAGTTCTAATAATTTGCATGAGAATCGATTTCTGTATTGTGCCAGGATATACGCTGCTCAAACTTATATGGGTATAGGAGGTTTGTAGATTTATCAATTATGATGCCATAAATTCCAATTCATTTTAGGATTGACCTCCACACCATGTCTGAACATATATTGTGCATTTGGTTTGAGAGATAAGTGATGTTGGATGGGTCCATCCCATTTTAGACGGCGATTGATTCAGGGTCAACGAGTGAAGGGGGACACCCACGAGGGTGTATTCCTTCATATTGGGGGACGCAGGATGCCATCCCTACAAATCGAGCGGAGGGGGCAGCCGCTCGTGCATGTTGTCGCTCTTCCGCCTGTGGTTGCCGGAGGCAAGCAGGGTCGTCGGAGACGCGGGAAACACGGTGCGGCTGCATGAGCGTTGTTAGTAGTGTGGGTCGAGGCCCACGGACAGCTTGACAAGAGGCGTGGGATCTTGCGAAGTCATTTGCACCACTGAGTCGGATCTTGCAGCAGAGAGGGCGGGTTCCTCGTGCCAGTGATCATGGATGCATGGACGAGAGCTCCTTGGAGGTCATGGGGTCATCGTGGCTGGGGAGACCTCCTCACTACTATGGGGAGGCAGGGGCAGGCGAGCGGTGGTGGTGCGAGGAACATGCGGCACCGGCACCGGAGTGGGCATCGAGTGGCGGTGGTGTAGGGGGGCCAGCAATGGTGGAGCGAGGGGTGTGATGAGGACAACACTACTTCAAGTACAATCCAAAGAGACTAGGAGGACCAGCGTGGGTGTCCAACTCATCCACATCATGGTCCATCTTGGATTTTAGGAGCAATCCTGGGTAAAATCGACGTCCAGGACGCATACGGACTCCGTTCTTGACGATCCACATATGCATGTAAAGATAATTTGATAAGATAACCCATGGCTTTTGACTCGTCCTAAGTCCATAAGAATCGTCGAAACAATAAGTCAGTGCCCAGAATCTGCCAGGGTGTTGCGACACCGTTTTTGTCCGTTGGGCCGTATATCGTATTAGGGGCGCATCCAGGGGTGATGACGCCCAAGACCCTTTAATTAGCCGCCGTCACTCTTATTAGGGTTTGGGTTTTGTTGCGTTCTTGTTTTTCTCGTGAAACTAACATTGTACGCTGCACTTGTATCGTCAAGATTGACTGTTGTGAACCAGACCCCTATTCTTGATCTTGTTTGTCTGTGTCGACTAGTCCTTTTGAATCAAGATTTGAATCTCTTATCAAACTCATATACTTCATTCATACTTGCAATTTAAGATTGTGTTCATCCTGCTCTTACTTGAGTTCTTCGTTCACTCATACGAAAGCCTTCTCGGCACATCAATCGCGTTGCGTGGCTGATAACCAACAGAGCAGTAGTATAATGGTTGTGGGGTCCGAATCAAACTTAATTCGAAGCCTAGATCGTGAAGATAGGGCCGCGTGACTTGCGAGGGCGTTGGCGTGACGAAGAAGAGATAAGGTTGGTAGGGCGTCTCTCGATCCACGGATGAAAACTCAACGCTTACATGAATAATATAATTGCAATTGCAAAGCAACAAACAGTACGTACGCGCGTAATCAATAAGAAGCTAACAACGAACAGAGGTAAGCATGATTAGGCGCCGCCGGTGAGCTCCTCCTCCAAGTGCGTTGCGATGACGACATCGGAGGTGGGGTAGGCGGCGCAGGTGAGGACCCAGCCGGCGGCGATCTGGTCGTCGTCGAGGAAGCTCTGGTCGGACTGGTCGACGCTGCCGGCGACGACCTTGCCGGCGCAGGAGGAGCAGGACCCCGCGCGGCAGGAGTAGGGCAGCTCGATGCCTTCTTCCTCGGCCTGGTCCAGGATGTACACGTCGTCGGGCACCTGCAGCTCCACCTCCCCCTCCGGGGTGACGAGCTTCACGTTGTAGGTGGCCTGCGCGCGCAGCCTGGCGCCGCGGGCCACGGCCGCCTTGGTCGCTGCTGGCAGCGCGACGGTGGCGAGCGCCGGCGCCGGCGCGACGCGGAGGGAGGAGGGAAACGCCGGCGCGCGGAGGCTGCTCAGGACGGTGGCCATTGTATGTTGTGGTGCCAGCCGGTGCGGGCTGCGGAGGAGGAGCAAGCTAAATGATAGACTGGAGTGGAGCGGCTGCTGGAGTTGGTCGGAGGAGGCAGATAGCGCTGCCCCAGGCCCAGATGAGAAGGAAACGAAGGGATAGCGTGAATGCAGCGTGTAGGCTTATCTTCTTGGTGGGGCCTCCAACACAACGGACGTACTCCAACCTCTCATTTGATCACGTCCCCAACAATTTTGGCCATGAATTTTAATGGTGTGGAAATTCACAATCACTTTATATATATTTACTGAGAGCAAAAGTAGTGACTCACAGTCATGGAAAATAAAATGTGGAAACCAATTGATGGCCACTGATGATTGGTTATTGTGCGTGTGGAGGCCACGGGACCATTCATCGAATGGTTGTGAAAATATTGCTAGCAAACATAGCCATGCGTTGCAACGGGAGTTTAGCTTGTTGCGTATATATACTTGAGAGACTTGCGTCTCACAGACATCATGCGCTTCAATTTTTCTGGAAATTGAATTCCGGTCTATTGTACCTGGACGTGTGTTATTCTAACTCGTACGGGTACAGAAGGTTCAAGGATTAGGCATATATTAAGACTGAATTTTGGTACGTTCAGTTAAGTATGTAGTAAATATACAGCAGCATAAATAAAACTGAAGAGGAAAAAAACATTTTTATTTGATTTGGTTGAGCAGTGAAACTCATATATCATATCATGCGTCCGCAGTAAAATTGGTAGAGACCAATAAATAACAGAGAGCTGCTGTCATGGATGCATGCTAGCTAGCTTGCTTGGCCCATACATCGATCTCATGATGGCATGCATAGCGTGGTGCATATGCTCTGCTTAGCCGACGAGGTCGTCCTCCTTGTGCGTCTCGATGACGACGTCGGAGGTGGGGTAGGCGGCGCAGGTGAGCACCCACCCGCCTTCGATCTGGGAGTCGTCGAGGAAGCTCTGGTCGGACTGGTCGACGGTGCCGGAGACGACTTTGCCGGCGCAGGACGAACAGGAGCCGGCGCGGCAGGAGAAGGGCAGGTCGATCCCTTCCTCCTCGGCCTGGTCCAGGATGTACACGTCGTCGGGCACCTGCAGCTCCACCTCCCCGTCCGGCGTGATGAGCTTCACGTTGTAGGTGGCCTGCGCGCGCAGCCTGGCGCCGCGGGCCGGCTTACGCGGGCAGCGCCACGACGGTGGCCACCGGGGCGGCGGCGAGGCCGAGGAAAGGCCGGCGCGCGGAGGCTGCTGCTCAGGGCGGTGGCCATTGGACTGTAGTGTGTGATTGCTATAGCTGAGGTAGCTGCCGCAGCAGAAGCGGGGCGGGTAGCGACAATGGAGTGTTTTGTTTGCTCTGCTACAGCTAGCTAGGGGACAATATGGAGAGTACGTCTGGCTGCCGGCGATTTATCGTTGGCGGGCGAGGGAGGAAGGGGTGGCGGTGAGTGCTCGGGTTATCTGCGGAGGGATATCGCTTTGTGCGACGAGGATCACACGTTGCTCATCGTCGCTTCCAGCCATCCATCCATCTATCTATCTACTACATAAATCAGAGTGTGTCTGTCGATGGGCGTGTGGAGGCCATATGCATGCAGCACATACCACTACAAACGCATATACCAAGTCTTCTAGGCTAGCTAGTCGCTGTGTATGTGCGTCCTCTTCCTGTGTTTTTGGTGGCTCTTGGTGCTCCATCCATCCTTATCTATCCATCTGCTTTATTTAATTTTGAGAAATCATATATTTATATTTATATATACATATATATAACCACAACATATACATATATACAAAGGCAATGCGTATAATAAGGTACCTAGAAAAAAAATAGTCTGATATAGGTGTATATGCTTGTGGTCTGTGTGTTATTGTCCACACGACCACACCACACATTGGATGCAGCTGGCTGGATTGAGGTTTTAAGGTCACGGGATCCTTGGCGGCCACTAGCTTAGCTAGCTAGGAATGTAAAATCTCGAAGCTTCGCGAGTACTTCAATTTAACGAGTGGTGGTAGATATTCATTCTCCTTATATAACTGTAATAACAAATTCATAAGCGCTATATATATTGTTGGTGTGACTGACATCGCCGTAGAGACGCTATCACCCACCAACCATCTCTCATCGTTTGCACAGCGTCTCCCATTGTTCCCTTCTTCTTTGTCTCTAATTTTTTTCGTGGCTACGTACGTACTGTTGCAACGGTCCACGTGCAAAGGTGCTTAGACACCAGTGATTCATTAAACACATGATGTAGACAGGATGTAGGATATATATTATGTCCTCCAAGGGCTTAAACCTGTATAAAGTCCATATCATGTGGAACTGTCTTGTTTAATCTCGTGGATATAACCATATAGTTGTTTTATTTAATTTGCGGATCAACCCTATAGTTGTATTACTGGTAACAAAACACCGAAAGTTGTCACTCTAGATAGGAGAACACACGCACTGATCCATCTGCAAAGGCTATATGGCTCCCATCATGATAGGGATCATGAATCTACTTCATCTCATGCTAGGTTCTTCGCTTCTGAAGTCTAGACTTTGCCGTTGACTTGGCGGGCAACATATCCCTTACTAGGGCATTCACTGTGGACCAGGAGTTCCACTTTGGAACCTTAGACTTCATCATCAACAAGTTTAGCAAGCTTTATCTCTGCTACTCGGTTGGGCCAGTCTGTGGAGAAGTTATCTTCACCTTTGCTCAAGCTCCCATTAAGGATTAGGGACTCGGTCACCATCACCCAGTAGTTAACACCTTATATTAGCATGTGGATCTATTACCCAAACATGGCCCTGAGTCCCTAAGCTAGTTGGAACACATTATGTATGGTCGACATTGTCGTCGAGTTTCTATTACCTATCCTCGAGCATTAATAATATGTGAAGTTATTACCTCTTCTAGGACATTACATCCTCGGCGATGAGAATTCAAAGTAGTGACGCCAAACAAAGTTAATGATGAGTGCAATTATCTATAGGCCGAGTGCCGCCGATGACTTGAAAGGATCATGCATGACCTATAGAGGGGTGAATAGGCATGTACAAACTTAAAACTCGATGCGGCGGCTTAGCAGTATGCAAAAGTTCCGGACAAATTTGCGGAAGTTTTGCTGGTCCTAGTTGAAAACAACTACAACTCAAATTGATAAAGAGTAAACTTAGGTTGAGTTAAATACCAAGATTTGTGAATGTATTTCCTTCCTTTTGCACCACAGCCATGTAGCTAGAACTTAGAGGAAAAGTAGATCAAGTGTAGAAATGAATTCAAATATGAAAGTGAACACCACCACCACAACAACAAGGGGCAAGACACAGGATTTAACCCAGACTAGGTTCAACTGGAGCCACCAAGACTTGTCTATATCCACGTTGTTAAGGAAGCCACAAAGGCTTTGGGTCTCTTCCAACCCTATCCTCTTATCAAGATAATCACAAAGCTCAAGGTTGAGGTTTTCACTAGCTTCTTTGGGGCAATACAAACTTCTTGGAGCTCCTCACAAATGATGAGCGCTCAACAACAGGCAACCCTAGTCATCTAGCTAGGATCCAAAGCTCCAAGATTAACAAACACAAATTCAGCAGCTAGGGGATGACCAAGTGCTCAAGGTTGGATCTCTTGCTCACATGCTCTCTAACTCACTTTTAGCCCAATCTCACAAAGTATTTCACCAAGAATCAAGGGAGAGGTTGGTGAGCCTTCAGTGGAGTGAGTGGAGCTTGTCCCTAAGGCAGGTGGGAGAGTGAATGAAGAAGATGATCGTTGGGGGGGAGAGAGAGAGCACAATCTAGCCTTTGGTTTGTTTAGGTGGATATCTGGACTTTTGGGTAGAAGTTGAGCACTTGATCACCTTAAGCTACCAAATTTGTGTTCCCCTTGATAGTACAGCTTTTCCTATACCGAATTTCCAAACATAAATATAGTTAATCCCTCATTTATCCTTTTGCCAACTGTTGGTATAAATTAATGCACACAGAATAATCCACAAGCGCACGAATATTATACCGATGTAACACTTCACCGGGAGTACCCAGTTTTATATCAAACTTGAGGAAATGTGTGTGAGAATAACCAAATCTAACTTATCCTAACTTCACAATCAAAGCTAGATAATAGGAGCGTAGAGGAGACTACAAAGGTCTTATAGTTCTAACTTCGATAAGCTTTGTCTTCTATTGTTCAATTCTGAGGATAAGACTAGAGAAAACACAGACAGAGTATGTTTTCAATATCAATATTGTCCTACTAGGCCTACTAACGGGAGGTGGACTACAGAGGATTCAACGAGGCTATAAGAGTCACCCTCGCGAGCTACCACCGATCTAGAAAATAGGGTACATCTACGAGTAACCGAGTCTAAGCACCACGCTTACACTACGAATACTACTTTAACCCAGGAGTTACAAGGATTAAAGTACTCAAAAGAGAATCGCAAATCTGAAGAATAATATGAATAAGATGCTTACTTGAATTAAAAGTTGATTACCAGAGAAATTTCAGAAGCAAGCTTAAGAAGAACTTGATTTCGCCAGGTACAAGCCATAGAGAGAGCACCGATAGGCCGAGACACCTCCAAAACTCTTCCCTCTCACTCTATCTCTCTATCTCTAATACAAGACTAGATCCTATCGAGGACTAATCTTCTCTTGATAGCTAGCCCTGATCCTGGTGGACATATGAATTAGGGTTTCTGGCTTCTCAGCTCTTAGGATCAAATGAGGCTTATGCCTGGGGGAGAGGTAGGGGCTGGATTATATAGCCTTGAGGGTCCAACATGAGCCCTTGGATCAAACCGACTTAAGCAACGGCATAGATGCATCCTCAAAGGCGATGGGAAACCAACGTAGGAAGCTGACTGATAGGTAGGCCCACTAGGGGCCGGGCAGGCTGACAGTGGGGCCGAGCGGCCCCACATGTCATCCTTTGGTCCTCTACTTCTGTGATGTGGCTCCTGGATCCTTCTAGAGTCTTCCCACGTAAGTACCACGGCGGGATTCCGTGTTTTCCTTTGACGATTAGGTCCACCTTGGCGGTTTTCTGATTAAATCCTGTTGAAAACACAGATTCACCAAAACTCATGGAATTTGTCAGTTTAAACCCCTAAGTCTACTTTAGTGATTCATTTATACCCTTATGCATGTTTAATTGACGAATAAAATATGTATGATAATTACCGTCAACACCAACCAAATGAATTTGGAGGTCTCCTTGTGTTGTCATGCGCCCACAATGACTTATAACATGTTATCATCTTGTAGATATCATTAGACCCTTATTTGTGTGGTTATGAATACATGAAAATATCTTAGAGGCTTGGATGTTCTTTCATGACTAGAGGAGTAATCCTAGCTAGATGACGAGCACAATCGAGGGCAGAAAACGGAACGAAGAGGCCAACGGGTCCACGAGTAGATTCTCGAACACTAGCTAGGGGGTGAAACGTCCTAATGGCTAGAGGGTGTAATAGAACCGACCAATTATACGAGATTAAGTAAGAAAATCTTCCGCCGAAGTAGACAATTTAGCTAACTTAAGCCCGTATAACCCGATAGTCCGTGAAACCACGAAGGATTTCAAACCAATCAACATACAAACCAATATCATACAAGTTTAGCAAGTACCGTCACACGTTACATAAAGTTCGCAACGACAGTTGATACATCAGAGTTTAGAACATAAAGTTATTACATACCAAGTTCGAACTGAAATAGCGGAAGCAAATAGTTTTAAAGCCACACACATACTTTTGATTCAGATATAGTGCCAGTAGGTAGTCATTTCCAACAAAAGCATCAGATGAGAAATACGGAGTGACCATTTGCCCTTGGTCCTAGTTGTCACCCATCATGCAGTACAGCAGGCGAGTTAATGCAATAGTCAGTAGTACATTTGACCATCTGCAACAACAATGGGAAACAACATACAGTACGAAAGGTACTCACTAGACTTACCTGTCTTAAACCAAAATAAAACGCGACACCAAGGATTATGTAAGGCTTTCTTTAGTGGGCTAGTGACTCTTTTGTGAAAGCATAAGTTATCATGAATAAACCATTTTAAGTACTTTGCATCATCTTTATTATAACCTATCCATCTAGGTAAGCACCGCATTACTATAGCAATCACATGATTAACCAATAACATCCAGCTTACCAATTTAGCCTTAGCATAACTCACATCATCCGAGATAACCATCATTTGTTCCATAATAATTACTACGATGTCGTAGCTCGAGTCAAGTGCTCACTATCCAGGAGCGATGG